CAAACAACATAATTGAATTTTGTTGTCATAGACCGAAGGATTTTCTCAACTATGGCAACATCCTCCAGATTTTCACCATGGATCCTCATCTTGTTTGCAATAGCCATCGTCCTTGCAAAATAATCATCTACAGATTCACCAATCTGCATCTATAGAACTTCAAATTCTACCCGCAAAGCCTGGCGCTGTTGCCGCTCTGCTCTTTCATTCCCCTGGTACTTCTTCTTCATGGAATCCCAAATATTCTTGGAAGTAGACTTGTTAAGAATTGTTTCCAAGATAGCCCGATCTATGGCTTGGAACAAATAGTTCTTAGCCTTGAGATCCTTCAATTTTTCCTTCTCAATTTCTGCCCTTTGTGCATTATTTGCACTTGCCGTTGGTTCTGGAACTCCAGCTTCAACAACAGTCCAATACTCTTTGGACCGGAGAAAATTCTCCATCAACATACTCCAATGATCGTAGTGATGACCATCAAAACGAAGGATTGAGCGCTGGACATAATTTTCGGAAGTCATGGAATTTTCGGGGAATAGGCTCTGATACCAAATGTTAAAGAATCAAGGATTCCTGAAAAGAAAAAGATGGAATGAAAAACTGAATCTCACATTAAACTGAAAATAATCTAGCTTTTAAATAGGTTTTACAAGATAATATTATCTAAAAAGATATCTAGTCAATTTTATCTAATCTAATTTCAATGATAACAACCTAAAACAAATAAATAACTTAAACTTCCTAAAATATAGAGATAATGGCTAAATAATAGGATCTAATTTCCAACATTCTTATGGAAGTAGATCCATTCCTTTTACAAGCAGATCTTCCGGTCGCGGGGTGGCTTTCTACCTCTGGATTCCCTTCTTAGAACCCAAATCCATGGCTTTGAAGCTCTCAGTTTCTGGGGTTGAAGATATAATGAAGGAAGAACCTGAATCCTGATGCGTGAACAAAAGAAACAGCATTAGGAGAAAGTCTACCATATCCCGCGTATACCACGTGGGTTGTATTCTGTACCAACAATGTTCTGACACATTTTAGATTGTGAGACCATGAAAAACCTCAAAAAAAACAAACACGGTCTCCTGTCGTCGTTTTTCCCTTCTTACGCCTTGATTCTTCGTTCTCTTATTGGCATTTCCTTTCCTTTTCATTCTCCAATTTCATTGAGAGGATTCGAGGGAATCTCTTTCTACACCTTCTTGTGATGATTAGCATCAGTATCGACCGTCGGTTTTGGGGAAAAGCAAAAATGGATGGGTTTTGGAGAAATGATGAAAGAGGTATATGACACATTTTATAAAACAGATTTTATGTAATTTATTATGTAAAGTTATTTAAATATTTTAATAAAATAATATAAAAATAAAATTAAAAATATTTAAATAATTTTGTAAAATAAACAGTATATAATTCATCCTCAAACCATTTTTTTATAAACAGTAATTAAGAATTACAATATAAATTTACATTTTTAAATGCATATGTAGTTGCACTGAAGCTTATTATCCATAATAAGTAATTTTTAGTTATAGTTTAAAAAATTAAGCATGGTTCATGTACTGAAAAATCAAGTAGAATATTTAATAAAATTTAAAAAGTACATATTTAAAATTTTGTTAAAAATCAATGAAAGTCAATGCTAGTATTTGGCAAATTCTTCTCTTATAAATTTAAAATTTTGCTAGAAGAGAACTCAAAATTTGGCATTTGAAGTAGTATTGAAGTAAGTTTTGTCCAAAACTTTCTTTAAAGGCATCTTCTCTTTTATTCGGAAAAGGGTTCGCTGGTGGGACTCTCACAGCGTCCCCAACAAAGGGATTATAAATTAGCAGACTGTTAGACTCCGATGAACCATCGCTTAAGGATAAGCATAACAGCCCGTTACAAGAACCCACGTTATAACCGTTACAAGAACCCACCAGATCATTAGCTTTTGAAAGCTGTGGTGGATCGATTTTCCTAACCCTTCTACTACAATCTTCGATATCCACAAAATAGGGTCCCAGGGGGACATGGAAATTGTAGTCGAACAGAATCAGACATGGGTTTGAGTCACTTACCCGGTTGCGGAACATCGGAGGGAGTCTTGGATCTGCAATTAAATCATAGCCGGCATGGGAAGTGGTCTTGAAGTGGATCAGAGAGGTGATCGGGAGTCTTAATAGGATTTCGAGCAGAATCTCCGGTGGGAGAAGATGAGGATCTCTCTGGACCGTCGCTCTGTTGGAAGGATC